GAGCGGCTGGGGGAGCTGGGGGGGCTCAGCCTGGGGAAGAGGAGGCTGAGGGGAGCCCTCATCGCTCTCTGCAACGGCCTGACAGGAGGCTGGAGCCGGGGGGGTCGGTCTCTTCTCCCCAGTAACAAGCGATGGGACGAGAGGGAACGGCCTCACGCTGCGCCAGGGCAGGTTTAGGTTGGATATTAGGAAAAACTTCTTCCCTGAAAGGGCTGTCAGGCACTGGCACAGGCTGCCCAGGGCAGTGGTTGAGTCCCCATCCCTAGAGGTACTTAAAGGATGTGTAGATGTGGTGCTTGGGGACATGGTTTAGTGGTGGACTTGGCAGTGATAGGTTAATGGTTGGAATCAATGATCCTAAAGGTCTTTTCCAACCTAAAGGATTCTATGTAGTGTATAAAGCATTCTGTTACTGCTTTTAAAAGCTATCGCAATAGCTGAATATTAAATGTGAGGATTCTGTGCTTGTACATCTTCCGCCCAAAGTTTCAGAGCTTATGCCAGGAGAATAAAGACAGGGACAATGACTCTTTGTAAATAACTGGACTGTTAATTGTGCATTCGCTCTTGTAACCTGAACAGATGCTATAGATTTTCTTCTCATTCAGCATGTTTATAGGAAGTGATAAAAGCAAGAAGAAACTCGGTGTAAACTTTAAATGGCCTATTTGAAGATGAAAATTGAAGTGTGACTGTCTCCAACAGAGCATTCGTTCTTATATGTAGATCTTTCTTCATATAAAGCATTACTTATTTATCTGTTTAACACAGCACACTGATAAGATCGCACAGCTTGCAATTCTACGCTGTCATCTGAATTCAACATCAGCTGTCTTTACTCTGGTCCCTGCAAGATGCCAGCAGCCCTTGCAGAGAACAGCCAGGTTATCTGTGAAGTATGGGCCAACAACCTGGAAGAAGAGATGAGGAAAATTCGAGAGATTGTTCTAAGTTACAGCTACATTGCGATGGTAAATATTTTATACTTGACGTAATTGCCTTAGTCAAGGGATTTTTTTGGGGAGGGGAATAAATTGATTCTTGAGTGAGAAATGATTTCCCCCTACCCCCAGTCAAACTGAGCTAGAGGTTAAGTGGTGAAAAACTAGAAAGTAGTTCAGTCGAAGCTTTCCAGAATTTAATACAAGTAGTGTTGAGTTTGGATTGAATGAAAGATGGGGAAGAGAGAGACCACGTTAAAAACCTGGATTCATTTAATATTTAGCTATTCGTAATGTATTGGTTTGTGCAACAGAAAAAGGAAACAGGTCAGATGTACTGGGTTTAAATCCTTGTAATGTAATTGGGTTTAAATCTTTAGTTTTCCACCAGTGTATTTGTCCTTTGAATGTCTTTCTCCATTCGGTTATGGAAGATGCCATGGTCCTGTAGGACAAAAGGCCCGCAAGTGACAACTGGTCAGCTGGGCTGCCTCCTTTTAACGAGGTCAGATGTTGATTCTTAGGGAAGCAAAATATTCTGGCTGTTGGTATGATTGTGTTCAGAAAGCTTTGTTTAGGAAGACCAGAAATCTCCCCCAGGTGGGAGGAATCTCTTCCTTCTCTTAAAAGTCTGTATCTGCTTGGCAGGAGCCAGTTAGTTACATAAATAACTGGTTTTAGTTATGATACTGTAAGTTATGCCAGCTTTGCTTAGCAACGCTAAACTTCAAGGTATGAAAAGTCCTTAATAAAAGTGTGGCATAAAACCACATGCCCCTGCAGAGCGCATAGTATTTCAGTGTAGAACGCCGTTGTCTAAGTAAATATGATTTCGTTATCATATGTCAATGGGAAATGAGCTTTCTTGCTTCTGTTTGATCTCATTGAAAGCGTGCTTATGACATATTTTAGTGGCTCTGCTGTTAAGAGTGGATGCAAAAAGATCTTGAGCAAGGGAAACGTTTTGTCAGATACACAGCACTGGATTCTTCATGAAAGTTTTTTGCATATGCACTAGTCCGTAGAAGTTACGTGACCTGATCTGAGAGTAAAAATAGTCTAGAAGTTTGGGTTTCAGCAAAGATAGCACACAATCACTGGCCAAGTAAAATGTTTTTCATCTCGTAGGTGGTTGCTCTGCTGTTAAGGTCTGTTTTGATTGGCAGGAGTTTTCGTTAATGTAGGCATTGGCTGTTCCTCAAAAACGGTGAAGGTTATCGCTATCTGGACTATCAAATGGAGTGGTCAGAGTGCTAAATTTAACTTGTGTTTAGAGCATGAGGGAACACTGAATAAATTCTAAAAAGTCCATTTTAGTAGATTTAGGGAAAATGAGGGAGTCCTTTGCGAGAGATGTTTAGATTATGCAACAGTGCATATTGGATGACTTTACAACATTTTTGTTCTGGAGTAAAACAAAACTGCAAGAAAGGATACCTGTAATAAACGAATGAATGCAATAATTAACAAATTGTGTAGGGGTTTCTTAGTGTCTGACTTGTAGCAGTTTAAAATCTGTATGAATATATGGAAAAGGAGAAAAAAAAAAAGTTATTTTTACATAAGAATTCACAGAATGCAGTGCTGCAAGTGTGGAACTGAATAGACTCCTAGTAGGCTAATAATAATGACTGCTAATAGAGCAAGTGGTGAAACAAGATTTTTTCCTTCTCTCCTAGGACACAGAGTTTCCCGGAGTTGTTGTAAGGCCAATCGGTGAATTCCGCAGTTCCATAGACTATCAATATCAGCTCCTTCGGTGTAACGTTGACCTTCTGAAAATTATCCAGCTGGGTCTGACTTTCACAAATGAGAAAGGAGAATATCCTTCCGGCATCAACACCTGGCAGTTTAACTTCAAATTCAACCTTACGTGAGTCTCTTGAGCTAGGGAATAATCACCTGTTCTTTTCTGCTGAAGAGATGCTTTCCTGTGGCAGATGCAGGTGTTTGTCAGTGCCTGGTTCTGAGCAATAAAAATTCGGATTCTAACACAGATTATGTGGGAACCTATTTTGGCAGGACAGGCGTTTGCCATATTTCTGGAGTCAACCCATACTAAAATCCTATCCTTAACACCTTTTCCCGTGATAAATAGCCTATCCCCAATAATGGTATGCACCTTAAACTTTTTTCCTTGCAACAATGTTATAGTCTTAAACTTTATACATTTTATATATATATATATAAATATCCATCTCTTTCTGCTAAAAAGAAATGGATGTGCTGTTTTGAGCAAAAAGGAAAATACTTCTTTACAGATCCATGCTAAAATATCAACTGGGGTCTAAAAAGAATGGTGTAATCGTCACACCTCTTCAGGAGAATGAGTCTTGGTAAATGGAGCGTGGCAGTTGTTCTCATCTCCTCCATACTGCAATATCCTGGGTTACAGTTGAAACAAGTTTCATTATCCCTTCCCCCGTGATTGTAAAGACAAACTCAGCATAATTACCACTAGAGCTGCTGGGAAATAAAGAGAGGGTTTATCTGTCAAAAACACACATTTGTAGGAAATAAATCAGTACTTTTATGGAACTGTCATTGGAAAACATTACAAAAATTCATAGCTAGTATGTGCAGATCATACAGTTCTTGAACCCAAAAGTTGCAATATTTACTTCCACAACTTTGTGAGCCTCTTAAAAGTATTGAAATCAGAGTGAAGTGGTTTTCACAGTGTGATCGCTTCATTTGACTCAATTACCATATTTGGCATGAATTTTGCTCTGTGTGCTGCCATCTGCTACCCTCCCCACTGGCCTCAAACGAAACAAACCAGTACAGAAGTCAGGTTCCTGCTCCGCTCTCCACCAGGTGTATCATCACTCATCCCTCTCCTCCTTCCGGAGTCAAGTATTAGGCAATTTTGTTTACTCCCACAGATGGAACTGGAGATGATGATACGGTGGCATGTGCTGTGAAGTGCAAAAGAAAAATGTAGACAGGAATGATGCCCAGTGCTTTAGAGTTGCACGTCTTCCTACTTGGAAGAACTCCCCTTTTCTCTCTGTTGTCATCTGTGGTGCTTCCTTTCACCTTGCAGAAATGATGTTTTGAAAAACATCATACAGTACATTTTTTCATACAGTACAGTGGATGTGGATTCTTTGGAATTTGCACTAGCAACAGTATTATTAACTAGCTACGATCGCAGAATAGCTTGTTATGTATGTAGGAGGCTGCAGTAGTGGTATTAAAACTGATTCAGTTTGAATTTTCTAGAGAGACAAGTGTGGAACCCAGAGATAGCCTACTGATCTCTCCAATTTTTGAAATACAGTGTGGGGGGAAATAAACCTGACTTGTTAGTACCTTGAGTGCAAAGCTGCTTTTCTCCTTCAGCGAGGACATGTACTCTCAGGATTCCATAGACCTCCTTGCCAGCTCTGGGCTGCAGTTCCAGAAGCACGAAGAAGAAGGGATTGATACCCTGCATTTTGCTGAGTTGCTTATGACATCTGGGGTCGTCCTTAGTGACAGTGTGAAATGGCTGTCCTTCCACAGGTAGGTCCGAGAAGGTCACTGATGCCATGAAGAGAGAAATCTCTTTTTGATTGAAATACTGCTGCTTTTGTCCGTGGAGACTGACACAGATTTTAAGCAGCTTCTGCAGTTCTTAAAAGAAGCTTAAAGATACAAAGGCCATGTTTAAGAGATAAGAACACTTGGCACTTCATTTTGTACTGGTCCTTACTGTGTTCTGAATTTTGTGTATGCCTTTCTTGCAAATCCTTTCACCGTTACAGTCTTCCTCTATGGAAGAAGTTATTAACAAGTTGAAATGTGATTTCTACACTTACGAACTTGTGTGCATTGTAAAGGATGGTTTTTCTTTTTCCTTACAATGGTGGTGGTGTTCTCAACTTCCATCTTGTGTTTGCATAGAGGAAGAAATCTCTGTAGTTAAGATACCTTTCTTGTAGTGTTTCAGGCAACTTGACTACAAAGCCTCTGGTCCTTGATATCATCGCAAGTCCATTGAAAGGACTTGAGGAAGGAGGAGGAGGTGGTGGCAACAGACGCTTCTAGGGTTTCCTGCTTTTCCGTATTGCCCATAGCTACAGAAACTTGCAGTGTTGGGAAGTATGTTCTTCCCAATGGCTTAGCTGTTCCACAGGAGGTTAGCGGAGGCACCCAGGGAGCGTTCAGAAGTCCTACATTGACATAGATGGTCAGGATGAACTCTGGCTCTGAGCCAGAGGAGTTTTATGAATGTGAGAAAATGTTTGAAAGCTACAGCATGTAAAACTCTTGTGAAAAATGAAATATTGCTACTGACGGAGTATAGGTGCTGCCTGCTTATCTGGTTTCTGTATGTTTTTGTTTTCAGTGGTTATGACTTTGGCTACATGGTGAAGCTGTTGACAGATTCCAGGTTACCGGAAGAGGAACACGAATTTTTCCATATCTTGAACCTTTTCTTCCCATCTATCTATGATGTAAAGTACTTAATGAAGAGCTGCAAAAACCTCAAGGTACTTGTATCTCTCCAGCAAGCAACTGATGGATGGGCATCAACACTGTAAATGTACAGTGACCCAAATGACAGAACTGCTGCCTATATCAAGTCTTAAAACTGGGACGTGTCTAAAAGCTAGTAGTCACATAGAAGCACCTATGACTAAGTTTGTATCCAATAGATACTGCCTCCCTGGTTTTAGACTTATTAATATGTATATTATATAGGGGACATTCCCATAACCTTCCGGTTTGTGTGTCAGTAATTTCAGGGCTCATTATAATACAGAATGTTTATCTTCCCTATGCAAGGCAGAGTATTTCTTCCATGAACTATTACGTGACTTGATTAACTGGTAGACACTTGGAGGGTTGAAAGTAATTTATGTACTGAATCACAGCCTTGTTTGAGAAAAGGGAGGGAAAGGTCCAGCATTTGTAACCTACCAATGTGCCCACAGTCATCTCAAGTATCCGCAGCAGGAAAGCAAGCTACCTAAATTTGTGAGGAGTATTTATGTGTTCTTGAACAATATTTGCCACTGTGTTTCACTCATGGCTGGTGTGTGTGTGTACTGCTGGAATCTGCACCGATTCATAGTAGCCAGTGCTTGCCCTCATGTTTTGGAGAAGCGTGGCAATTTTGCTAAGAGGTGGATCTTCCAAAATAAATTCTGTTCTGTTCTCATTGCAGGGTGGCCTTCAAGAAGTGGCAGATCAGCTGGATTTGCAGCGAATTGGACGACAACACCAGGCAGGATCGGACTCTCTTCTCACGGGAATGGCATTCTTCAGAATGAAAGAGGTACTGCGGTATCCCCTTCTTTAGGGGTCTTTCTCCAGTTCCTATCCATAAATGTCAACATGCACAATGTGTTTTTTGTTTTGTTTTGGGTTTGTTTTTTTTTTTTTTTTTAGCCTCGTGGCCATCACACTTCAAACTGTCAGTAATCAGAATTGTTGATATTGGCACAGAATTCTTCTGTTTACTCCTCTTTCATGCGCTTATTTTAAATCCCACGCTCCAGTTTCGAGGTGGCTGACTTCAAATAGGCTGTTGAATTAACATTAGCTTTCTGATTTAGAGGCACAATTAAACAATACCTGTTTCTTCCCTTTTTTATTTTTGAATCTGCAGTTGTTTTTTGAGGATACAATTGATGATGCAAAGTATTGTGGGCGGCTGTATGGCCTTGGCACAGGAGTGGCTCAGAAACAAAATGAAGATGTGGACTCGGCCCAAGAGAAAATGAGCATTTTGGCTATTATCAACAACATGCAGCCGTGATAAGCGGTGCCCCTCAGCAGAACGTGGTTACCATATTGGCAGCTGCTGTCCTCAGCCATTTTCCCTAATAGCGTTTCAAACAAAAGGCATCTACAGTATACAGCCTGCAGAAGGCCTGCAGTTTTGCTGAAGAGCTGCATCTTCATTTGAAACCCAGAAGAGAACTGACTGAATTCCTAATGCCAGCATTTGTGGTTTGCCATCTTTTTAATACCAAGGGCAAAAGACAGAACCTACGGTGTATACCTCTGTTTTTTTCCTCTTTATACTGTACAGAATCTGCAAGGAAGACTTAACGGTAGAATATTCAGTAGAGCTAAGGGTCTGGAAATCCAGTGGAAATGGACACAGACATGCACACAAATTTGCTAATTGTGCTTTATAAAGCTTATTTTAAAACTTCTGCATGTTGTGAGGGTCACTGCTTCACCTCATGTTTTGCTTATTTTATCTTCGTGTAGTCTGTGGAAATTGCTCCCTTTGATCACTGCAGAGGTTTGGGAACGGATGACATTAAAAATGATCCTTGCAGCTAAAAATATTCAGAGATTTGCTTTAACAACAACGGGAATGGATATTACTGGAGCTGATATGATCAGCTCTCCCTAGTTTCTAATTCTGTATGGTACAGGTTTGACCCACACTGAGCCTCCGCTTAGTTCTTATGGGTATGAATAAACTGTTCTGGAAATGGATTAAGAGGCCTAAAAGTTGACCTTTGACAGGGGATTGGACCAATACTCTTACTTCAGTTTTCTTCAACTTAACCTACAAATTTTGTTCTTCTCCTTGCAACACAAGTAGTTCAGCAGATGGATAAATATTTGTTCCTCTTCCCCCCCCCCCGCTTCTCCAGCCCCTAATTTTACTATATGCTTAACAACAGACAAAACAGCTCCATTTCTCTTCATTATAAAAGCTGAAAAGTAGTTAGAGGATGGAAGAACAACTTGGGATTCTGACTTTTTAAAAAAATGAGCTATTCTATAGTATTTTTCTTTTCCAACAGCTCTGTAATGACATTTCTTAAAAAAACAAAACCAGAAACCCTTTTAGACGTGGCAAACTTAAAATTGTAAGACTTTGTCTTGCATTTTAAACAGGCTTAAACGATCCATTATTAGCAGTGGAGGTTTAGAGCTGGTATTTAAAATGCTTGTAAATACTACTTGTTTTTTAATTTTTGTAAAATAAATTTTTTTTAAACCAGGTCTTGTTTTGGATTTTCCATCAAGCTCAGAGTTCAGGCTTTGGAATCTATATTTGAGCTCAAAGCTGCTCAAGTTTCTTTTACCACTTATGATGTGCTACTGGGGTAGTTCTTCGTAAAATCTGCTTTTGAGCTTATTGTACAGTAGCTGATGAAAGTTGAGCTTAAGATCTCTTTGGGGGTCTTGTGTTCTCTTTCTGCTCGTCTCTCAGCACAGCTAGCAGCATTGTGGAGCATTCTTTCAGTGCAGCATAGCCACTTAAAGTGACAAATCTCTTTTGCTCATCTGTTCTGCGTGAAGTTTTCCTGCTCCATCTAAACTCCAGTGGTTCTTGCTTAAAATGTTAAGCGCTAGCTCCCCCTCCTGGTTTTCACGTACTTTGTATGGAATTTAGCAAGTTGTAGTGGCAACAGTTTTCCAGATTAACACATCTACCGAAGGATCTTCTTTTAGTATAACCCCTGGCCTTCATCTACTGCTCTTCAAGTTGTTCTGAGGCGTTCCTTTTTGGAGCAGGAAATCTGCAGGTCTGCATTTTGGCTGGAAGAATCTGGAACAGCTCCATCTGAAAAATCCATCCCTCCTACTTTTTTTCTTAAACAATAATCTTTATTGTACTTACAAACTTTCTAAATTCATGACCCCCCCATCCTACTATGAACTTTGCTGCTGCATTTAAAAACTTGCTTCTAGAAATTACTAAGATAGAGGCTATGTTCACTAAGGCTTATGCAGCCTTGTTCTTTCAAGACAGACAAAGCCTTCAGGTAAGCTGTAAGACCGGTCAAAATGTTGCATGGGCAAGACTCCAGAATCTAGGATTGTTTTTGGCACTTCCAGAGAATGCGATAGTACCTCAAATTTACCATCACTGTAGCAGAAAGCAGTTTGTTCAGCCATGGATGTTGCCAAAAGCAGGGATTTCTCTTGACCTAGAGAAATCCTTCTCTCTTGCTAGTCGTGCTGGAAACAAATATAGAAGATCTTGCCCTCCCTTTTATGTACAGGTGGCTTCACCACGCAAAGCTAAGTCGTAGCACGCACTTGTTTCATCTACTGAGTTTATGTACTACGTTTAACAAAAAAAAAAAACCAAACCAGGCTTATTCTTAATGCATTTGCCCTTGATTGATACTGATTTCTATCCATCAAATTAAAAGCCATATCATGGTGGTAGAAGACTTTATTTAAAGGAGGGAAAATAAACTCACAATGCTTTTAAGAACAGTACTGGCTTAAGGGTCAGTTTGCTTATGGAAACCATTTCTTTTCCTGAGGGCAGCTACTGCTCCTCCTCTGCTGAAAGACTGATATAGCTGCTCAAAACTGTTTCTCTTACATGTAAGTAGCAAGAGCTTTCATTAGGATAACTTCCAACAAATAAAAAAAGACTATACAAAAATCCTGCATACAGTTCAAGCCCACAACCTACTGCTTTTCAATTTTCTAACACAATCTCCTGAAGTAGTACTAGTTGATGACCACAAGTGAGCCTGTATATAAACCTGATTTTTTGTAGTTTTATCCAAAGTAACCACAACCATCAAAACAAGCCTTCCTGAAGAAAGAACAGCCTTGGTCTTAAGTAGCTGTAGGCAGCTCAAGGGAGACAGTTTGGTCTCAAAATGTCACGTCAAGAACCTCCTGCCAGCCTTTTTGTAAATATCAGCGCTACCGTGTTTCCTAAGGAGATCCAGCGCCTGTTCGTGTAGTTCCGGAGGGCACCGGGATCCAATGTGAAGGAGGACAAGGCAGCATTCCAGCACGTCGGGGAACGGGAAGACCTGCAAAAAAAGGAACGAGGTGATGTCTGCTCTTTCAATTATAATTGTTCAACTGCAACATATTCAGGCAGCCAGCTCTCTAAAGACACTGCTTTATAGTATCTTTGGAACAGATAGTCATGAGTCAGATGCATTTTTTCCCTCTTCTTTCAGTGTGTTAGCTCACATTTAACCAGGTTTGCCCCCTCGTGCACAATCACCGTGTTATCATCAAGTTATCAAATCACCACCTTTACTTGACTAGAGAGCAGAGGGGATGAGACAGCCTAGGAAACATTGCTTTCAAACATGTGATGTGTAGTTTCTGCAGTTCCTAATCTATAAAGGCCACTTTATACCTTAAATTTCTGATTTCACTGTTTATCAAAACTGTTTTTGCATACGTAATTCTAAGTAGCAAGGGATTACTTTTAAAATGCACGGGAGAGATGCATACAGAATATCCCATTGAGTTTGCCCATGCAGGAGCTTTACCTACACTTTCCAACTGCACGGAGAAAGTTACGCTTGAAAGAAAAATGTCACCCCGATGCCATGTGTCAATTCTCTCTCAAAATTGCCATAGGATCACAAAGTCAGTCACTGTTCCTTACTTTCTGTATGGAAGGGATTCTGTGATGAGGCTGCCCTTACAAACAAGACTCTCTTTTTTTTCAGAACCACAATGCCACTTACCTTTAAATTGTCTGGAAATTCTGCTAGTTTCTGCTTTGCTTTTAGAAGTTGCTTTGTTAGCTCAGGGAGCGTAATTGGTTCCTTTACTTCATCTTTACTGTCAAGAAAAGAGCAGGTGTCATGAGTAACTGTTTTGCTTAAATGACTGCATAGCCTCCCTCCTGTACAGGGAGCACAGAAGAGAGCTGGACAAGTGTTAAACGCTCTAGCTCGTTCTTGCCAAAGTCCCAAATAATTGTTTGACAAAGAGACAGACCTCTTAGATCATGCCTCTCCTTTTCATTATCCTCCCTTTTACAAGCTGCCCTGTTTATTCACCGTACCAACACACCCTGTGTATCAGGAAGTTATTCAGCTGTAGCAGGTTTATGTACATGGTAGTTCAGCCCCAGGGAAACGCAAGACTTTTGGGCTGTATGTTGAAGTGTCCCTGGGTGACAAGCTTGAGATTAGAGGCAATCTGAGCTAAACAAGAAAACTGCTGCACAAACACACAAAAAAAGCAATGCTTTTCAATCCATTCATTCATGTTCTCAAGCTTACCAATTCATCTGGCTGCTGTCAGAGCGTGGTTTGTCTGATTCAGTCTCTGAACTCTGCTGCAGGTTGCTTTCCTGGGTGCTTCCATTTGTGTTTTCCTGGAGATTGTTCCTCTGCTGCTGGTGCTGGCGGATCATATCTGCTAAAATCTGCTGGACCTCAGCTATATCTCTCTGGGTGTTCTGTAAAGCAGCAATCTCTTCTGAAAGAAGCACTTCGCAGCCATTCAATTTTGACTGTCCCTCTACCAAATCGACTGAGCTAGTTCTTGAGTCACTTTCTGTCTCACACCTATGAACTTCAGTTGTATTGCAGAGATTTTCATCCATCTCAACTGCAGTTTGATCAGGAGTTTCTTCAGAGGAGGACTGACCTGAAACGTAACTCTTCTCAAGAGCCGTCTGCTCACTGGGACACAGCACAGGATCCAAAACAGCCTTTTGCAAGACAAGGGAGTCTTTGGGTGGGTTCCACCACAGGTCATACAGCCGTTCGTAAGCCACAAAGCCCTCCAAACTTCTGCAAGCGTCCATGCTCTCAGAATTCGTGCTGTCCAGTTTGCGTCTTAGGTTATCACAGCCTAATAATGACAAAAGGATTACAAACAGTTTATAGAGATTTCCAAAGAAAAAGACCAGATCTGGTAAATGAACGGCTATCCTGGAGACCCAAAGCAGAGATTTACTCAGATGCTGGCAGAGTGGTGCAGGAAGCAGAACCGCAAAGGCAGACATCTTTGGCATCTTTTTAAACACAACGCTCAGTTTTCTAGCTAGCATGAGACTGCATGTTTTCATCATCTACAGCAGACTTCCTTGGTCCCAAGCTGCACATCAAGATAATTCACATGATCAAGAGCCGCAAAATAAACACACTGCATACTCTGCAGAGAAGGAAGGGAAGGGCCGGTTGGAGTGATTTGTAACTACGAGATGAACACAGCTTTCCAATGTCCCCATCTCCCTTACAGAACAGAATTTGCTCAGTTTCCTACATCACCGACACCAGCTGACACTGCTGAGCTTCCTTCCACAGGCAGGAAGTTTGATTGCCCAACGGCCCTTGCACTAGCCAAATTCCACAGGTTTCCAGATATATGTGTATGTCTTGCTCCTTCCAAACATTATTATCCCTACTAATATTAAAGGACACACAGCTGGGCTTACAAGGAAGATCCATCGGTCAGTGCCAGGAGATACACAAGAAGAGACTCACCTTCAGGAAGGATGATACTGCAAATCTCTTGCATCAGAGTGAAATTGCCAGCATCATAACTGCGGGTCACAGCTCCAAGAATACTTTTCACTGCCTCATCCCAGGTAGCAGTCTGATAGCTCAGGGCTGCAAGGGTTAGGTCATGGGAGATACGGAAAAGCACCTACAGGAAGCACCAGAGAGCATGATTAATAGTTTTACTGCAAAGTGTGAATTACTCACAGCTTATGACCGCCGTGGAAGAGCCCAGAAGCACGTGACTTAACCAAAAGCAATTTTAACGACAATGCAATTTACATAGTCTCCTTCATGCAGGAGATACAGTGCTTTTACATTACTTGTAACTGTAAAATCAGCAGCTGTGCTTGCATGTGTCCTGCTAAACAGATGAGAGCTGGGAGTACACCAAAGGTCAGTGACTCACTGTGGTCAGAGAGAAGGGCTGCAGGAGCACCAGCCTACGAACAGACCTTCTCAGCTTCAGGATATTTTAACAACGAGCAGCCCTGCCTCTCCTAACAGTTCAACACAAACCCCTGACCCGCTGCCAAGACTCAGCTATGCCAATCACTCCCACCCGGCCAGCACCTCTCCGTGATCGCAGTGCTCATCACTGACACCACATGTCAGTTCTTACCCTGCACAGAAACAAATGCAGAAACTGCATGTCATCTACTTCTCCCAGACTAAAACCTCATCCTGGAGCAGGGTGCAGACATCAGTCCGCTGGGAATGGCTGGCACAACACCACAAAGTGGCTGCGTTTCACTGCGTATGCCGTAGTAAAGCTCAGCGTGTGTACAGATCTAAATCCATTTACCTGCTTTGGGGGTGTGTTGCTGGTAGAAGGAGGATGCTCAATACTGTGCAGCTGCTCCCGTGCACATGTGGCTTGCTCAGCGGTGTCCATGCCCAATACATTCTGCCACACTTCTACCACCATGTCAAAAAATGAGGCCTCTCTGTTCAGCTCCCAGCTGTGGTAACAGGGAGGCACCAGGCTCTTTCGGTTACAGGGATTTCTTTCACTAAGGCACTTGCAAAGCAGTTCGTTAAGGCAGAAAACAAGTCTCTGTCCCTTTAACAAGAAAAACAAAACAAAGAGCACTGAGCTGCTGCTAAAAGAAAAACAATCCCTTACTGACCACAGCAGGTAGACAAATTTAAGAACATCATGGCTAGTAGCAGCTTGTTGGTGATATAGACTGTTTCACAACTGCAGCTACCATAGAACAATGCTGATAGACTCAGAGGCTCTAAGGTCAGAAAGAAACCTCAGAATAAGCTAAGCTAGCCTTCTGCTTCTCAGTCTGCACAAAAACAAATTTCTGGATTAAGCCTCCAGCAGATGGACTTACGGTTAGCTCATGTGTTCCTTTAATGTAAACAGCAAATACTTTCCTTCACTTCTTTCTTCTTATGATCAGTATTGCATACTTAAAAAAAAATCCCACTTTTCTCAACTACCTCTGAGATAACTAACAAGCATAGAGCTCCCCACCACGGGCCCTTTGCCTCTGCAAAGGCACGTGCTTTTTCACAGGGTCGTTGCAATAAACTTCTAGAAAAGTATTTTGAGGCAAAACCAGCTCAAAGGACTACCTGTGGGCTATTAACATATGGGAAGTGATGCCAAGTTAACCAAGTTAATCTGGAGAGAGACAATGCTAAAGAAAGCAGAAAGGAAACGACCAGACTCACAAATAAAGTTTTATGTTGCTGAAGGACTTCCTGAGCTCCCACCCAGTTCCGCGATAGCAGCAGGTCTTGGGCGCATCTGAAAGACAAAGTTGCTGACAACTCCTCCTCTCCAGACACCAGCGCAAGCTCAGCAGCAGTTTTAAGGGATGTCGCATCCCCCTTTTTTGCCAACACCTTAACTGCATCATAGGGTGAGGAAGCCCCCAAATAACTGAAAAGAGATAAAAGTAAATCAGCTTGATTAGTGCTAAGATATGGTTTTTAAATTGTATGGCAACACAACAGCACAAACATAAAATGAAGATAAACCTGCATTTTCCACAGGTTCTCAGAGCTCTCATCACTTTGCTTTACCAATGTTTGTACTATGGACATGGTGCCTGACCTGCTGCAAAGCTATGCATGGAAAGTCACAGAGCCTAATAATCTGGACTGAAACCTCTGGTGGTGTCCACACCACGCACGACTTGGATGAGAAATAGAAATAAATAGATTCAAGAGACAAAGGTTATCTGCAGTAGTTTATCCCTACTGCATTTCTCTGGATTTCATCCGAATCCTTTCACAAGTGTAAACACCCTCAAAAATGCCAGAACTGAAATCAGCATCAAGCAAAGGACACTATTCCAGCCAAAATATTTCAAGTGTTATTAGTAATTTTGGTAGTCACAAATTTGAAACACTCTAGTTGGAGGAAGATAACCCAGTGATTAGGCTATTAGCTAAGGCCTCAAGAAACTCAAGATGAACTGTTGCGCTGCACATTTCCAGCGGAAAGGTTGGAAACATCACATAGTCTTCTCATATACATCCTAATCTTAGTCTTGCTAGACTAGTTTTCAAAGACTTCCAGCAATGTCTATGGAAAGAGATGGCTCTGCTGTAGTGTGGCACTTGGACCTTCTGCTCTGAACTGCCCTCTGGAGCTTCCAGAGGGAGTCTAGTGAGATCAGGCCCAGAAAGCACCTCAGACAAATAACGACCAGACCGGTTAACAGATTTCAGCTGCTACAAAACCAAGAACCTTCTTTGTTTCAGGCACGGAACTAATTCTGTCTTCTTGCCAGTAACACTCACCATTTGGCGGCCATGGAATAATGACCATCTTTCTCTAACAGAGCTGCCCAACTGGTGTAGAGATCCCTCAGAATTGGATCTTCTGGACGCAACCTGGCCTTAGCAATTACAATTGCTTCCCTAATGCACATAAGAGAAACCAGACAGAAAAGTTAATTGACTGTGCACAAAAAGTGAACGAAAATGTCAAATCTAACCCACCAGAAAACAAGAGCAAATCCTAGACATAAATATACAGCGACCTGTAAAAATGGTTCACTTTCAGGAGCTCGACAGCCTCGTACACTTTATGGATGGACAGGAGATGGGAGGCAGCCTTCACATACTGCTCCTGAAAACACAGCTGCTTCACAAAGGCTTCTACTGTCCAAACCCAGGCCTGATATCCAACTGCAAAAGAGAAGGCAATACAATTGGAGGCAAAGTTTTAAAACTGGAAGAATTCCTGTGGGATGACATCATCACTGGTTTCTTCAACATGTACCTCTTCTCTGCTCCAGATTAGTTTCTTAACCATCCTAATACAAGCCAATGAGGCAATGAAACAGGGCAGAGCCAGGGCTTGAACACGACTGTAGGACTTGACTACCAGTAAAATAACTTCAAAGCATATTTAAACCAACAGCAAGCTGGAAGGACTGCTACATAGTACAAAGAACTAACTTTGTGCTTGGAAGGATGGGCCTGCTCCTTCAAGAAGTCCCAAAGGAAACCACTCTACTTCCTGCTATCCCAACCTAAGGGTGCTTCTGGAAACACCCAGGTCTTTGTCATAATAGGATATGCTTTGTGTTTGATTTCTGTTATCAGGCAGTTAAAGAAGCAGCTTCCTTCCAGTCTGGAACAACCATGAGTTTCCAGCCCAGAACAATCAGAATGAGGCTACCCTTCGCAGCTAATCATCTGCTTACGTGTTACAAGAACAAACATACCCATGGGTGAGATTGCTACCAGCTGGTCTGTTAGCTCTCCCCTCTCAGCAGCTGCCTGGAGGACACCCTTCATATCTCCTTTCCACAACATAAGCTGCTGAAAGAGCTCTGGATGCCCATTCTCCAAGTGATGTTTTCCTGTTGGAAGCAAACACACTTCCTATCAGCATGAGTGCAACAGCATTATTTGCCATAGTACAATAACTTGGCAAAATGAGATTATTCACGTTTAAGGTATTGCAGGTTTGCATCTGAAAGATGTAAAAACTATTTGGGAAAAATAGGTCTTTTCTTCTTTTCACACAGACCTGCATTCTTAATCCATAGTAAAGAAAATGCAAATATTTTTCCCATTCCTTGAATGTCACAGTTACAATGGACATATTGTCAAAGTGGATTCCTTATTCCACTTACCTTCCACATCAATCATCTTGTGCAGAGAAGCCCTGTCTGCGAACAGCCCCAGGTGGATGCGATCCTTGAGGTCAGGGGACACATCTTCATTATTATCTAAACCAGATAAAAAGAATGAATGTTTAAGATTTGGTACAACTCTGGGAACTGGGACCTGTCAAGTGACTGTACCACTCCATTACACTCAACTGTCGGCAAATGCTTGTATCTTCTGCTTTCTTTCCTGTATAGCAGATTTAACAATTTGCAGATCAACACTTAGAACTTGCATCGAAGTTTGATTAGAAGGACCACGTTCGTGCAGAACATTCATTCTAAATCAAACACAGCACGTTCCTTTGCATGCTCTAAGGAACAATACTGTGAGAATACAAACATCTCCCTCATAGCTTATTTTCTTCTGCTCATATTATACTTCTGAAGGTGAAAAACACTTTGCACGTAGGCAGACAATCTTACCCTATCTCCACAACATATGAGCCTACTCAAAACCTGTCTGGAGCGGCTAGAGAGTGCTGAAACACTGCAAGAGAAGTTAGATAAGAGACCTCAACTAGTCACACACTTTGATAAAGGTAAGGATTTTAAAAAAATAATGCCTAGTGGTCAAAGTCAAGTCCTTAGACACATGCTTCTGAATACTTTAGAGCACCTACCCTGTAAGTATTTTAGTATTAGACTGATACCTTTGTTTTTCAGACATGTAGCCAGCCTCAAGCAGTCCTGATGCAATTCATCTTTTGATCTGTGATCCATGAATGTGCTGAAGGGTAGAATAGAACGAGGCTTCCTCTTCTTCAGAGAGGCATCAGGAGCTGAAAAAATCAGACACATGTTAGTCACTGCTGCACAGTTGTAAGAGTCTCTTACAGCAGAAGTCTCTAACGTATTCTAAAACCCTCTCTTCCTCACACAGGAAAACAAAGCCCAGATGTTTAAGTGCCACATGCATCCCTATTATGACAACTCTGACTTTTGAACACTGATCACTTTGCATATTTTTCTGCCCATCTTACCTGGAATGAAACTAGCAACTAAAAGGCAGTACCTAAGCCCACATTAAATTAACTACTCAATTGACCTGACAAGCAGGGCAAATAAAAGAAGAAACTTAAAACCTTTAAGTTTTTAAAAGCATGCTCTTCTTCCTCTGGCACTTATTTGGTGTCACATTCGGAAGGGAAGCTGCAGCCAAACAGAAGCCTAGAATGAGAAACTCTGCCTTGATGCAGGACTGTTAAAAGTCCCTGAAACATACTAACTTGGTTTGTCTTTAGGTGGATCCTTTTTCACAGGAATGGCTTTCTGGGTCACAAAAGGCTTTGGCAAGCTGAATGAAGAATAATCATATGCAGGTGAAGATGTATCCTTGGACACTGTGGAGTGATAAAAAAAAGGAAAAACAATACATGGAAAAGCGCATAGCAGAATACTTGACATATTCCCATTCTACTACATTAATTTCAAAATATAAAGAAACCAAGCTTTGCTTTGCCATAGAACTTAATAGCTTTTTAGGAAAAGGAAATATTAAGAAAACATTACAGAACTGTCAGAAAGCTAAATAAGATGTCAACAGACACTAACAAAGGTCCAGCAATATTTTAAGATTTATCACCAGAAGGCAACACTGATCAAAAATGACACTGTTTAAGCCAAACACAGTAACTTTGTTCGTTAGGCCAGAATCTTCTTATTTAAAGACAATTAGTCCCAAACTAGTTCAGAAAATTATGAAAGCCATTCCAGAACTGTACTTCCTTCAAGTGGACTATTTCAATAAAACCATATTGTGAGAAAATCTGCATGAAAATATTAAACTTAGTGATGCTCTGAGGGCTAAACAGTCTGGGAACCATTGAACTGAGATGATTTGATTACTACCAGTCATGGAGACTTTATTGGGCAACTCTGCCTCCTGAGCTTCTTTTTCTCCTTCATGGTCCGACACTCCATTTTCCTCTGGCAACATTTCCTTCGCGCTCTCATCTCCATTCACGGCATCACTTAGATCCTGCTTGGCTGGACTCTTTCCTATGGGCTTTTTCTTCTTCTTGGTTTTGACTTTCGGTTGCATACTTCTTTTTTTCTCTAATTCTATACTCTTTTTGCCTGTAAAAGGTTGCAAAAGTTACCCTGATATTATCTGTACAGATTTTTAGTGTATTAGCTGTCTGTCTCTCAAGATCAACATTTAGTTTCCAAATACGGATACAACTCAATTTAAACCTAGGCACGGTTTATTCCTGAAGAGGTAGCAGGCAGATTTGGAATTCAGCATAAGAACTTATCATACCCTTTCAACATGGCAACCCTCTCTTTCCCAGCTCCAACATCATCTTCAGGAAAGGATCTTCTGTTTGAATATACTTACCCTGAGGAGGCCGTGTGTGCTCCTGCTTTGAGATGTGCCATTTGTGAACAGAAAAATCATCTGCTCCTGTATAAACAGCATCTGAATCCACTGGTGACCACTGGACACTCAGTAGGCGGCCCTGGTGCCCCCGGTAGTTACAGAGTGGCTCTTCCTTCATAACATCCCATACCTTATAAACAAGAAAGAAATCCAATTACTCAGAGTCTCATCTTCCCCTAATACTCTGCATTTTCTCTTCAGTGACTTGCACTTGTAGGAGCTTCTCTTTCAGGGCATTTGCACAGGTATTTCAAATACCAACATGCAAATGGAGAAAATTCAGGGCTTCCTTTGTTTGCATCGATACATTTGCAGAACATCTTTCTTTTTTAAGGATCCAAAAGTGTCAGGATGAAAACTATAATGACTGGACTTACAAATCAAAACAAAAACATAGGGATACCTGCACATCAGGTATCCAGAACCAGGAGATGGTTACCAAGGGTAAATTTGCAGTACTTCAGTAGTTCACCTCACAAGAGCAGCTTTGCTGTTTAGTCAGCTCGATTCTAAACCACTGTAGAATGGATGATTTGAAACTAAAAGAAATACACTTCTGAGTGGCTGTGGAGCAATACCTGTGCAGTGCCATCATAGCAAGCAGATACCAATCTTCCCTCATGGTGGGGGCTCCAAGAAAGACTTGTGATTTTAGCTGTGTGCCCAGCCAGAGTTCGAAAAGGCTCCGTTATTGTCAAAGGACTTTCTGGAGTGCCCTCTGAAAGAAAAAAGAAAAGGATCAAGTATGGCCAGCAAGACAAACCATGAGTAAACCAAAACAAGACACCAAGAATTGGAATATAATCTGCAAACCGTTACCT